AGCCCAAACGCTTCATATCTTTTTTATAGTTGCGACTTAACCTTGGAATTTTACTGGTTAAATATTATAGTTTAATATTTCTGAGTTGAAATGTTTACACAGTGCGACCTATCATTGCAATATAACGCCCTCAACTTTAGTATGTAAAGCAAGATAAAGTGAATGCGTTTGTGCCATTGTAACTGGTCTTAGACTATGTCACAGAGTGTCTGTAATCGTCCCCGGTTAGGATTCGAACCTACCACGACGGCTCAAAGTGGCACGTGATAACTTTATAAACCGTTATAAAAAAAGTTGAAGGAGTATTCAAACGCATGAGGTTAGTAGTGCAGACTATATAGTAACAAAATTTTGGCTACTATTTGAAAGACTTGAAAGGTTAGAATTAGTGGTGATTTATGAACATTAATTACTAGACTAAAGGTGTATTTATGTTTAATTTTAACTTAGTCATTCAATACTTAGCCGCGTGTATTGTATATCCCCCCTAATATTGGCTGGTGTAAGAATACGTTAGAAGGAAACTAATGGTGATCAAAACAAAATATAATATTAGTTCATGGAATCATTGACTGTTGGATTTGGTCTGAGTAGACAGGTGAAAACTATCTGGTTAGGGTCCATGTGACTATCGTAACCAATAGTTGGAGGCGTTTGATGATATATCTCAAAAGTGGTCTTAACAAGACAGACGTATTCACTCTTTGTTTTTCGTTATGTCTTCAGTTTTGAAGTTATCTTATGCTTTTCTATTCCGAAATTTCATGCTTTTTTCTCGAACCACACTGTTTATGGCTAGTGTTTTTAACTACCACAAATACTGTTGCTTCATACATTGCCCTAAGATTTGTTTTAATAATTTCATCCTTTTGTGCTCGTATGGCGTGAGGATCGATGCACATATTTGTCAGGTTCTAAGTGTATGAGTTGTTAGCCAATTTGTTCAGTAAGCTATTTCATTGAAACATCGAAGTGAATCAAAAGTAGAAAATAATTAATAGGTTGAATTGTTAGTGTATGTACATAATATGCGAAGTAACTAACCTATCAAACATCTACAGGTGTGTGATCTACTATGTGATTTATACCACGATGTGGGCTAGCACGATATAAACTAAAAATCTAACTGAAAACTGAGTGAACAAATCAAGTAGCCTCACGTGCATAATCAAAAAATAATAAAATACTTTAATTTAATTACTTCCGTATCACGTTTCAAGTCTCAGAAAAAAAGTAATGCATCATAACATGGTAAATCAACATGACAATCTCTCCATAGTTATATAACATACACTTTTAGACTTAAGCTTTATTCGGTTTGTATTTTTATCAACAAGCTTTGTTATGCTAAAACAAACAGAACACATTAAATTACAGTTTCTTTTATTATAGCGAATTTATAATGCATTTTAGTCTTCTACCATAATAGCTTTATTTTTTCTCAAACCCATTTCGGCTTTGACCAAATACTGACACTATATTTCATACAGTACGATACGTAAGCATGCACTTAGTAAATAAATCATACTGGTTATCCTCTCAAACTCTAATCTTCTGAATTCTTCATGTCCTTTATCTTCTTTCCAAATCTATTCCTCTGGATTATACTCCTTAAATAACATCATCAAACCCTAATGTTCCCTATTAATACCTATACTTTCACTACCTCTACCACTACGGGATTTGGATCGATAACTGAATCTCTGTGCTAAAGTGGTATGGCAACTCGAACTTATGTACGTACGCACGAAGCTGTACGTTGTTACTGACTGACTGACTGATTTAGCATTTAATACATACCTTACGGTTTAGTAAATGAGTTTGTATATGATAGAATTTTCCTCCTTTATTCTAATAAATACATATTCTGAAAATAATAATTATAAAATTCATGCCAGTTTACAGGCATGATCAGTTACTGTACGGCGATAGTTGTAAGGAACATGCACCATCCCAAGTTGGTTTACTATACATCATATGTCTGACGAATAACACTGATGTACATAATGTTTTACCCATATATATTTGGTGCCCTTTTGTACCAATATTTATGTGTTCAAATAAATAAATAACCCATCTAGAATAGTGGATCGCTGGTTAAGACATTCGACTGTAAGCTATCAGGTTGCAAGTTCGAACGCCGCTCTACCTACTTTGATCTAGACTACCGGGTATTGTCACTAGCCCTTGTAATTAGAGTGTGACTTAAAGCAAATTATGTGAATTTTACCTTTTAAGTGAGTTAATATATCAAAACTCATTTGAAAATCTTAATTTAAACTATTGCTTAATGACATTAACGTATAAGAGCAAACCCGCCAACATCCAGCTTAGCGTCTCTCTCTATCTATATTAATTGGAGGCGTTACAAGAAATATATCTCATTTTAGTGTGTGGAACTGTATTTAATTACTGAAAGTTGCAGCAACATGATCATTAAACATACATAACTCAAAGCTGACAAATAATGAAAAAAAACAATGATAATGGACAAAATAAGTCATGTTAAAATGGATTTTAAGAAAATTAATTAGTGAAAATAGATGAATATAAAAATTGACTTGTAAAATTGGAATCCATACTTAGTACTAACGCATTTCACCAAAATTTAGGTTAACAAGACAGAGTTTTTTTTTATCGCGGTCTTCAAGAAATAGTCTAAATATACACACCAAGTCTATCGATCATTAGTTAATAAATGTAGTTTATCAACCAAGTGCATGTTTTTGAACTGAGATTTTATAATACTACCGTACTAATCAGATGAAACTAAGTGAGATGGTTTTTTAAAACCAAGAATAAAACAGAGATTAAATTCAAGTGCATCACCGTGGTCGATTTCCAGTCAGTTCCTCTGTTATCTACTACAATAGAATAGGATAATTCGGCTCATGACGCCTTGAAGTCTATGTTTACCAGCACCGCTCAAAATTCGTGAATCGATGCGATGTTTTGGTCAGTTGCTTGGTGTCTTGTCAGACCTATCCTTCTAAACTGATTTTTTGTGACAACGTGGATTGATGCATGTTTTTTTTTCTAGGTTTTGTATTAATTATAACTGCATACCTTGACTTTTTTTCGGACTTATTTCTATCAGCCAGCATTGTGCCCAGAGAATGCAGCGGCTGAACAAAAGTTGATCATGTCCCAGGCTTTCGAACCGAAGGTTTATGGTTACACCACTAAATTTGATGTTTTTACCTGGTACACTATTCACAGCTCCTCACTACTCATCTTTTTGCGGTTTCATCAAGTGTAATAAATACCTTGTAATCAATCGTAATCAAATACCCTCAAGCTTAATTCTTCTGGCTTCATAGGCTATGATTAATGTATGTTGTTCAATACAGAGTGAACTGTTACTCACTATACTCACACTTTGATAGGCAGGCAGACATCTCGCCTATGATAGAAGCAGCCCAAATTGACTGTTGTTATACGTGCTTTATTGTATCCATACAGAGTTTTCAGTCAACAACTCGTCATGAATAAATGGGCTTCCAAAATAAGTCATATAATCAGTGCTGTCGATCACTCTACTTCCATCCATGAATGTAGACTAGCTCTCAAGCTTTATTTTGTGTTTATAAGGATACAACACCCCAATTTATTTATTTGAACACATAAATATTTGTACAAAGGGCCCCCAAATGCCCTGGTACGGCCGAGAGTGGGGGGAGTGCGCTCCCCCTCTCGAAATGCTCTCATATGGCCACGCGTATACAGTCCCTGCCAGGGAAGTCCTACTCACTGCCTTCTCACACCACGGGTGTTGTTTACGAAAATGAGAGGACGAAAAGCGAGTGTCCGGCGCTCTAACCGGATCCCAAACCAATGGTGCACATGGGCTCCAGTATCCTGAGGGAACAAATGGTGTATGAACCAATCGTTGGTCACCGGCTACCATGAGACTGCATCTCCTCACGATGCTCCACTGCCTTGTGGATCAGATCTTCAGGTCGAAGGCTCTGGGTGTGGCCCCCTAAGAAAACCACCTGCTTCGGTTTGGGCACCCGGGCAGTATCACAGCCCTCACACATATCAAATGAGATCTGTGTGGCGCATATGTATTTGGTGCCTTCTTGTACCGATATTTATGTGTTAAAATAAATAAATAAATAAAAGGGTCACCGAACAAATATGCGCCACGCAAGTCACTTGGTTTTTGTGTGGGCTGTGATACTTTTGATGGATTTTTGTTTTTTGAGCTGGATTGTTTGGTCGTGGTGCTTTCATCGTTCTTCTGAACGACAATGTCAGCACAAACTTCAGGTATAAATGAAGTGTTCGGATTTCTGTGATACTGCTCGGGTACCCAAACCAAACTAGGTGGTTTTCGTAGGGGACCACACCAAGAGTCTTCGACGTAAAGTTCTGATCCACAAGGCAATGGAGCAACGTCAGGAGATGCAGTCTCATGTTAGCCGGTGACCGACAATAAGTTCATACGCCATTTGTTCCTTCAGGATCATGGAGCCTATGTGCACCATTAGTTTAAAATCAGGGTTTTCTAACTCCCCTTCGTAGATCCTCTATATCCACCAACCTGGTCAAAGCACCGGACATTCTCTTTTCGCCCTCTCAATTTCGTAAACAACACCCTTGTTGGAACAAGGCAGTGAGTAGGATTTCCCTGGTAGTAGCTGTATACTTGTAGCCATGTGAGAGCATTTCGAGGAGAGATAACTCTCTCCACCCTTCGCCTTACTAGGACATAGAGCTTTATTATTTGAGGTCTTCAGAAGACTGTACTATGTCATCACTGTCACTGAGCTAAACCATGTCATCTGTATACTTCAAGTGAGTGCTCCTCAGTACGAAATCTTTCTCTCTTACAGGTTAAACATAGAAAACATCTGGTTTCCTTAAACTTCATTTTACTATGTTTAAATTATTTAATGATTGAGTTAACTTTTATACTTGTCTTCTTTACATGCCTTAAATAGTTTTTCGTATAGAGATTTTAAATGTGATTTTCCTCTTTTTTTTTAAAAGGGATAATGTCTGCTTTAAAATTAGAAGATCCCACAGTAGATGTCGGTGATATCGAAAAATATCGTATGGCTTTTTTAATGCAATTTTTTGTACAACACAAACGAAGATTTCGATTTCCACGTCTTCGCTTACAGGTATTTACTTGATTATTTTATCTAGATCTTTAATTTTTATGGTTTATCGGTAGTTGACCGTGTGGTTTTTATTTTGTGAACTGTTAGATCTAGTTTTCAACTTTTTTTCCGCTTTGTTATCAGAGGAAAGCTATTGCAAATTATGGTACTATTTCAGGTGGGGTTTTTTTTACAACATAGGACTGTGGAATGAGAGGTATTTGTGTAGAGTTGTCATTTGTTAGTCCTCTACAACTCCTTAGGTGGGTTTCTATGGCGTAGGTGTGTGTATACACTCTCTGTCTTCCTTTAAACTCAGAGATTGAAATCGCTTCATATCCTTCTTTCTACGAACTAATTCTTTGTTCCTGTACTACCTCCTTATATGCCATCTTTCTTTTATATATTACCACTGAATTACCTACTTCTATGAATCCGGTGTTAATCTTGTTGTACTAATGCGGTATGTCAACTTGGACCGATGCATATACGTGCCAGGTCCTACGTTGAAGCTGACTGACTGACAATACATTAATTAAAAGTTTTGTATTTATGTTAAACAGATGAAAGGGAACAATATTCATTGCAGTTGTATAGTAAGCTAGCTTGTTGCTTCTTTAATAAATATTTATGTAGTATCACTGCAATCATCTTGGTTTATGATTGTCTTAACTTAAAATTCATGAAATATTTATTTAAAATTTGTCACCCTGTATTCAACTAGTATTGCCATTTAGTATTAACAGATTTTCATTCATTAATATATTGATCACCAGGGTATAGATACTACTCATATCCTAGTTCACAATTTGAAAGCTTTAGAGTTATCTAGATTTCTCATTGTAAACTCACTATTTTATCCAGAATTCAATCATTTATGAAGCTGTAATACTTCAACACTACTGAAATTTTGGTCTTGTAATTAACATCCGATAACTTTGATATTCGTGAAAACGTTTTCTGTATATATGTATATATTTCATCTAAGAGAAATGTCTAGTACGATTGGTGTACGTGTAAGCTAATAAAACGCTAGGGGAAGTTAAACTAAAACATGTCACTAATTCGTGACGTGAAGTCTTTGACAATTGGACTGAACTATGCTAATCGGTTTAGACTACCTGGTTAGATTTCACGTATTTACCGTAATGAATGATTAGCAACTTTTAGTCACATTGCTCAGAATTATCATTAAGGACGTGAGTGCATTCAATTTTTATCCTTCCATCAAAATTGAGTCCCTCAATTTTATAATTTTTGTTTTTTTTCTATATCTAATTTTCCATAATACTACTGATACTGTTGCTGCTTTTACTACTTTGGGATTTATTTTGATAAATTTATCTCGGTATAGTAGTAATAAGGTGTGACAACTTGGACCAATACACATATTTGTCAAGTTCTATTTTACACATAACTAATTGACTGGATACAACTGAACCAACTAATTTTATGAAAGTTTTGTTTGTAATAGGGATAAGCTTAAAATAATCATGATAAATTTTTAGCTTATTGTTAACCAATTAGAAATAGTCTATAGATTGAAATAAAGAAAATTCTCTTACATAGATAATTCCAGAAAACATCAACATATCAACTTATCCATGTAAATGTATAACATCCACCTTCTTAAAACTTTATAAGGAGTCACTAACAAGTGAACTGAACCTTGTTGGTAGGTGGAGCCTACCTGGTTGGGGTCCGCGAGATGATAGCAACCGATGGTTAGAGACCTTGAAAGACATGGCTCAAAATCGTTTTCAATGGCACAGGTGCATCCACTTTTTGTGTTCTCCCAAACTCTAATCTTCTGAATTCTTCATGTCCTTTATTTTCTTTCCAAATTTATTTTACTGGATTATACTCCTTAAATAACATCATCAAACCCTAATGTTCCCTATCACAACCTCTTCCACTACGGGATTTGAATCGATAACTGCAGCTCTGTGCTAATGTGGTATGACAACTCGTACTGATGTACGTACGTACGAAGTTGTACGTTGTTACTGACCGACTGACTAACTGATAAGGATAAAAGTTTCCAAATTGTTCTTGATTATGATTTAAGGATAAGGTTACTTTTGAGTTCAGTCAGTCAGTCAGCTGCAACGTAGGACCAGGCACGTATATGCATCTGTCCAAGTTGCCATACCGCATTAGCACAACAAGATTAACACCGGATTCATAGAAGTAGGTAATTCAGTGGTGGTAATATATAAAAGAAAGATGGCATATAAGGAGATAGTACAGGAAGAAAGAATTAGTTCGTAGAAAGAAAGATTTGAGGTGATTTTAGTCTCTTAATTTAAAGGAAGACAGAGAGTGTATACACCGACGCCATTGTGATCGATTCTCAGCCATGTCACCAAGAGTCTCCAACCATTGGTTACGATAGTCACACGGACCCCAACCAAGTAGTCTGCATCTACCAACATGGCTCAAACTAGAAGTTAGTGACTTCAAGCACTGATGCCACGTTTTGGTTTGGCCGCCCCTTACTTTCTTCCAATTATCCCTAATACCGGTTAGCATTGCGCGTCGTGGTAATCGGTGTTCAGGCATACGCAGCACGTGGCCCAACCATCTCAGTCGATGAAGATTCATAACCTCATCAACTGATTTACCATCATTCCCTATTACCCTGCGTCTAGTCTCGCTATTACTTACCCGGTGATGCCAGCAGATGCGAGCAATATTTCTAAGGCACTTGTGGTCAAATACTAGTAACTTACGAATATCTTCTACTCTTAAAGGCCATGTTTCGCAGCCGTATAATAGAACGGAACAAACTGCCGCGCAGTATACTCGTCCTTTAATTGGTAGACGGATATATCGCCTTCGCCATAAGTGACGTAAGTTGGCAAAAGCCAAACGAGCTTTTCGAATCCGTGCTGAGATTTCGTCAGACACCAACCCATTAGGGCTGATCAGACTTCCAAGATAAGTGAAGTTGTCAACGCGTTCGACTACTTCACTCCCTATCCTTAGTTCAGGTGTTGACGCAGACCAGTCCTGAAGCAACAACTTATATCTAGAGGGAGAGAAGCGCATCCCAAACATTGTGGCATTGTTGCTCAGTGCTACCAAAAGACTCTGCATTTCATCAGCGTCTTCACCAAACAGGACTATATCATCTGCGTATACTAAGTCGATAAGTGGACCTCCTGGTAGGAGATCAATCCCTGAGAATTCAGTCGATGAGAGCGTTATTTCCATCAGGAGGTCTATGATGAAGTTAAACAAAAATGGAGAAAGTGGACAGCCTTGGCGGACGCCACTTGAGGTTGCGAAAGCAGATGACAGTTCGCCATAAGCTCTGACTCGACTACTAGTGTTCGAGTAAAGAGCCTTCACAAGGTTTACGTACTTCTGAGGTATGCCTTTCAATGACAGACACTGCCACAGAACCTCTCGGTCAACAGAGTCAAACGCTGCTTTTAAGTTAAGGAAGACCACCATTGTCGGACGCCGATAAGTATGTCTGTGTTCTAGAACCTGACGAATGGTGAATATCCGTGGGATAAGGCGAGGTGTGCATTTTTAGGGTCGACCTTTTCTAACCCCACCCCTCCTTTTGGGAAGGCAGCATCGCTGTTATGCTGGTTGTCTGAAGGAAACACTTTACTGCTGTCACACCTCTGTACAGTCAGTAGTACGACTTGGCCTTCGGACCTTGGTTTTGTTGCTTTTAGTCTTACCGCTCTTCAACCGACCTATCTGGCATGGTAGGACCTTGAGGAACGGTTGTTCCAGCCAGTATAGTTCAGTTGCTTCATCACGACAGGCAAGCCCGACCACCACGTCAAGGTAGCAACAACGGTCAGGTTAGGTACAAACTGTACAAAAAAGTATTGAACATTTACTACAATTAACATCACTTTTTTTTGTTTACACTATAATGATAGAAAATTGTTTCTAGTTATAATTTTACATATTCTATGCATTATATAATCAGTCAATCCGTCAGTAACAACGTCGAACTTCCTACCTACGTACGTACATCAGTTCAAGCATTATACAAAGATATGTCAATTGTGTTATTTTATATGATTCAAGATAAAAGTAATCGATTTATTTTGAGTGTTCCTCATTTTCTCAACTTTGATTGACTAATCTGTACACTGTATTTTTATAATTTTATCATTGGCAATAAATTATTATTATTATTATTATTATTATTATTATTATTATTATTATTATTATTATTATTATTATTTGAACACATGATATTGGTACAAGGAGGCGCGAAATAAATATGCGCCACACAAATCTCATTTGATTTGTGTGACAGCTGTGATACTGCCCAGATGTCCAGACCGAAGCAGGTGATTTTCTTAGGGAGCCACATCCGGAACCTTTGACCTAAAGGTCTGATCCACAAGGCAGTGGAGCAACGTAAGGAGATGCAGTTCCATGGTAGCAGGTGACCAACGATTGGTTCACACACCATTTGTTCCTTCAGGATACTGGAGCTATAGATAGGTGTATTTGGATAATAGATTGTATCAGTGTATATAAAAGATAGTTTCTAAAGTAATTTTAAAGAGAGAGAAGAAAAGCAGATTACATTTCATTTCATTCCTCACTTCTATAAAGGATCGAGTTCAAGCTTATTATATTATCTAGATTTTGTAGTCTAAATTTATAGTGTATTCCCAAAGAATACAAAGTGTAAATCGCTTCTAAATAAATTCCAACCTTCATTTATCTCTTTATTATATATAAAAACACTATTCAACAATACAATTCATTATTTCTATCTTATATAGATCTATATAGATCTCCCCTTCACTAAAAAGGAAAATAGTTCAAATAATTTGTTATGTTTTTCAATAACACATTTGTCGATAATTTTTTCTCTCATTAATTTCAATAATCTTTATTAATCAATGGTTTTGTTTACTTCCCATATATATTGGTATGTATTCAAATTAACGAGAGAAAGAGAGAGGGAGAGGGAGAGAAAAAGTGATCGGATATTTTTCCAATATTTGGACACTTTGAGTTCATAAGATTTTTAG